CCCCCCCCCCCCCCCCCCCCAAAGAAATTTGCATATTCTTCTTGAGGGATCTGTGCACGGAGTCTAGGCGCCTATAAGCGAAAATTTCAGAACGGGAAGATGATATACGGAGTAGGAGCATATACTCAAAGTTTCAGCCTCCGAGCTTTCTTGTTTGCTGAGATGAAAATGGGTGAAAAAATGCACTCGCTTTTGAGCACACACACACACACACACACACAGAGACAGCCTCTCGACAATATACGTTTTTGCTGGCTGTAGCAACGTTATAGCGCTGCTATAGCGCTACACAGCAAAAACGCATAAAAAGCAGTCAACTTTTTAATAAATGAAAGTTTAAAGCTTTTCATTCATAATAGTCATATGGAGAACTGCTGCGGCATTGTAAGCCAGTAAGAGTTCTACTTGACAAGGATGAAGGATGACAGAATGGAAACAGCACACAACTGAGCGCTACCGAATGAGACAAGAAACATTCAGCGGTCACTTGAGAAGGCATTCAGCGGGACAGAAAGCTCCGTTTGAAAGCATATGTGCAATTACGTGGATACGTCACGTTTTAAAGCAAGCAAAATGGAGATATTGCTAGCTGCGTTGATCGCACAAGCGGCGCTAAAGTATTTTCTACCATTTTGTAACATTTATGATTTTGCCATTAAAGTTTGAAATTCACTATAATTTTGGGAATTAGCGGCATCACCGCTACGGCCCTCTCGGCTAACTCTGTACCAATTCTTATGCTGCTGCCCAGTTCACTTTTCTGCGCAATGACTGCCTCCAATGAGATTTTTTATACACAGTAACTTTCGGATATTCCACCCATATTCCATCCATGTACCATCGATTAGTTTCAATCAGGTGAACAAGTGTCCGCATTCATACACTTTACGCCCTAACGTTGCCGTTAAGATTTTATTTAGGTTACTATTTTAGTGCCTCATTCAGTTGTTGAATGAACGCCATTTTTGCTTTGGCCATTGAAGCAGTTGGCATATTTAGTTGAAATCGCAGTGCATTAGTATCCAAACAAATCCTTTCGCTTCCTATCACTCCTTGGCACTGAATGAGTACCAGTCATATCAGTCTGCTTTAACATCAATCTGGAGCATACAGTAATAATTTAAAATCAAAGTTTTCGAGGATAATCCACCTGTAAATCAATGAGATTCTCAGACGCGATGAGCGAAAAGATGATGTCAGGAACACCTTCATCGATTCGGCGAGAATAAGCCGCCAAGTGGCTGTAGATGTGCTTCACCAATTTAGGAATTGCCTTTTGGGAACCTAGCAGCAGCGCTGGAAAGACCTGTTCCACAATCCCAGTCGTTTCACCATGTGTTGACTCCACATAAACCTTTACGTTCCCGACACGCAGCTCTTCGTCGCGTAAGATGTCTTCCCCACTTTCCATTGTGAACAGCCAAAATCTCGTGCACTGGTCAGCAAACTATGCTTGATGTTGCTGTGTGTTACCTGAAAAGGCAATATTTTAGTCATTGCCCAGAGATTATTCATTCATACGAAGTCCATTTGTAGACACGATATTCCCCGTGAGAATTTGTCTTCTCCTCTCCGATCAGCACCTAGTGAATGCAGCAGGCAATGATATTTAAATTTTTCAGCATCTGCGTCGGAAGAGTGTAATAAGCACGGTACAAAACTAAATTTAATCATTGGCGACGTGCGCAGAGCGGGCCAGTACAATCATGCGTTTTTGCAGTACTTCATACTGTAATGAAATTGCTCGGAAATCGAGTAGCTAGAAATCTGTGATATGCTGATCCTCGAAGTCCGAGAAGCTGATAGTCTACGTGGTATTTGGACAGGAAGTATTTCGCTGAAATTTCAACTTTCCAAATTTTCTGGCTCTTGTGTTAGCAATTTCCTGCCAAAAATTTTCACGGGGCCGCTTGTCACAACCCCGCGCGCCCTGGGCTGAGTTTGATAAATTTAAGTTGCACTTGGGCTAGGAATATCCCGTGAAAATTTTAGCCTCCTGGTCCTCCTGGACCCTGAGTTAGCTATTTTTGCGCCAAAAATTTTCACGGGGTCGTAAGTGAGTAAAAACACACACTGAAGGACTGAATTTGACATCTGCAAGTTGCACTGTGCTGAGAACATTTTCTGAAAATTTCAGTCCCCCATCTTTCCTAGTTCCCGAGTTAGCCAATTTAGCGCCAGAACTTCACGGCGTCTTAAGTGGTAACCACGCATAAATGGGGGCTAAACTTGATAAATTTGTGTTGTACATGTACTGGGAACATTCTCTGAAAATTTCAGCCTATCAGCTTCCCTGGTTTCCAAGCTAACTATTTTCGTGCTAGGAACTCTCACGGGGCTATACACTGGAACCTCGTACATCTGGGGGCTGAATTTGAAATATTTAAGTTCTATGTGGACGGGGAACACAATTCATAATCTCAGATTTCTGGATTTTCTGGCTCCTGAGTTAGCGATTTTCCTTCTCGCACGCGGGGCCCAAACCTGCTGAGGGTTGGTACCGCGTTGATGAGGTGGCTCAGCCTGGAAAGCCACTAGCGAAGTTTTGGCGGCAGGGTTTGCTTGGGTGCTGTGTTGAAATATCCGGACAGACACACACATACACCGGAGTTGTCACAATATGCGTTTTCGCATTTGCGCATAAGCGAGCCAGTCTGGTACGCATCGGGCAGGCCCGTGCGATCATGCGTTTTTGCAACGGATTTGAAATACGCAGGTCATTAACTGTATGAATGGTTGTTACTTTACACCTACCTTTTGCAGTCACTGGCATAAGTCGCCATAAATTTTGCATATAGTAAACGTGCTATTTCCACTCAACGGTCGTTCTTTAAAAGTAGCCTTGTAGTTCAGTGAGAAATTTTCCCGCCAAAGCTTTTAAGTACCCGTACGTAAGAACTCATGCCTCAAA